CTCCTGGTGAGCTCAGCTGGTTAAGTGGCTGGCTCTTGATTTCAGCTCAGGTCATGATCTCAGGGTCTTGGGATCGAGCCCCACATGGGGCTCCAAGTTCAATGCAGAGTCTGCTTCAGATTCTCTCCCTTTCCCTCTGTCCCTCCCCCTGATGTTCTCTCTCTCTCTCTCTCTCTCTCTCTCTGAGATAAATAAATAAATCTTAAAAAAAAAAATCTGAACTTTGAGGAAACCACACTCCTAGATCTGTGCTCAGAAAATTGTCCAGCTATGCTGTCAGATAGGGCAGCCACTGGCTGCATGGCGTTCTTGAGTGCTTGAAACATGGTTGGTCCAAAAGACAGGGCAGCCAGAAAAAGAAATGTAAAATATTTCATTAAAAATTGCTGATTTGGGGGATCCCTGGGTGGCGCAGCGGTTTGGCGCCTGCCTTTGGCCCGGGGCACGATCCTGGAGACCAGGGATCGAGTCCCACATTGGGCTCCCGGTGCATGGAGCCTGCTTCTCCCTCTGCCTGTGTCTCTGCCTCTCTCTCTCTCTCTCTGTGACTATCATAAATAAATAAATAATTAATTTAAAAAAATAATTGCTGATTTGGAACGCCTGGATGGCTCAGCGGTTGAGCCTCTGGCTCAGGGTGTGATTCCGAAGTCCAGGGATCAAGTTCCACATAGGACTCCTCATGGGGATCCTACTTCTCCCTTTGTCTGTGTCTCTGCCTCTCTCTCTGTGTCTCTCATGAATTAAATAAATATATTTTGAGAGACGCACAGAGAGGCAGAGACACAGGCAAAGGGAGAAGCAGGCTCCCTGCAGGAAGCCTGATGCAGGACTCCATCCCCGGACTCAGGAATCACACCCTGAGCCAGAGGCAGACGCTTAACCACTGAGCCACCCAGGTGTCCCAAAAGTTGCTGGTTTTGAAGGATGCCTGGGTAGCTCATTCAGAAGAACATGTGACTCTTGATCTCAGGGTTAAGAGTTCAGGATCCGTGCTGGATGTAGGGACTACTAAAAAAAGATAAACTTAAAAATATGCTGATGATATTGAGCACATGGTGATATAATATTTTGCAGCTCTCCGCTTAAATAATATACATGAACAACATTATTTTCACCTGTTTCTTTTTACTTTTTCTAGGGTGGCTACTAGAACATTTAAACTTACACAGGTGGCTTGCATCGTATTTATCATGGGCAGCTCTGGTCCACGGAATTTGCCATTAGCATGTTCTCCATCCGGGAGGACATTGGGTGTTGGGGTGCCATTTGTTCTGGGGCCACTGAACCTTGAGATTTCTTCCCATGTGTTACAACAATCCATCCCAGAAGCAAAGTCAAGTAGAGTGACTGATACTCAGGTCAAAATGTGCCCCCTAAAGGAATTTCTAAAATCCTTTCCACCACCATGCCCAGATTGAGAGGCCACAGTACCACATATAGGATTTTATGGTCACTCTATATATAGAGTTTATTTTTTTAAGACTTATTTATGGGGATCCCTGGATGGCTCAGCGGTTTGGCGCCTGCCTTTGGCCCAGGGTGCGATCCTGGAGTCCCGGGGTCAAGTCCCGCATCGGGCTCCTGGCATGGAGCCTGCTTCTCCCTCTGTCTCTGCCTCTCTCTCTCTCTCTCTCTATCATGAATGAATAAATAAATATTTAAAAAAAATAAAAGACTTGTTTATTTACTTACTTATTATTTTAGAGAGAGGGAGGGGGAGGGTGAAGCAGGCTCCTAGCTGAGCAGAGAGCCTGATGCGGGGCTGGATCCCAGGACCCTGGGATCATGACCAGCCGAAGGCAGATGCTAACCCACTGAGCCACCCAAGCATCCCTAGAGTTTATTTTTCATTCATGTAAGTGTGTGCCTCTACGGAGAATGCTATAAAACAAAAACTTAAAAAACTGAGATACATGCTCGACATAACTGGACAAGCCAGGCTGCCTCAAGGTCCAGAGGTCAACTACAGACTCTGTCCCTTTCCTGGCTGTGATTCTTTCGGTAAGTCACTTGTTCTCACTGGGGCTCAATGCCTTCATCCAGAAACTGGGAATGTTGGTTCCTGGCCCCGAGGGTTATTGGGGGGAACTCCATGAGGTAGAATGTGCAAAGTGCCCAGCACACTGCCTAGCAGAAAATAATCTACACTGACCAGGTTTCTTAGGCAGGGAGGGGGGGAAGTGGGAGTTTAGGTAGAGGGATTCCATGCTAGGTTCTGAGCAGAGGGGATGGCTGAGATGGGCCTTGAAGGATGGAGAAATATTCACTAGGTGGAGAAGCATGGGGAAAGTATCCTGGCAGAAGGAACCAAAGTTCAAGTTCAGGTAGCATGCCAGAGCACAATATGATCAGGAAAAGGCAAGGGGGTTCAGGTATGATTTGAGGGCAAAATTAAAGTGTGCTGGGGCAAAGCAGGGGGCAAGAGATGAGGTTGAAGAAGCAGCAGCATTCAGGGCACAGAGGGTCTCGTAGGTCATAGGACTGGAGCACTGGGGAGCCATAGCAGGCTCTGAGCAGGAGAAAGACCTGACAGGAGCAAGTCTGTGTTTTTGCCAGATCCTTCTGGATGGGAGGTAGGTAGTACTGGGGCAGGAAAACAGAGGAGTGGAGGGCAGGATGAAGTGGGGATAGGGGATCAAGTTGGAAGGGGGAAGAGCCAGAACATATGAAATCTTGGGGCGCCTGGGTGGCTCAGTTGGTTAAGCATCCGATTCTTGATTGGCTCAGGTCATGATCTCAGAGTCCTGGGATGGAGCCTCACATCAGGCTCCCTGCTCAGCGGGGAGTCTGCTTCTCCCTCTGGCTCTGCCTCTCACCCCCTCTCATGCTCGCTCTGTTTTCTCTCTCAATAATAAAAAATAAATAAATAAATAAATAAATAAATAAATAAATAAATACATTTTTTTTTTAAAAAAAAGAACATATGAAATCTTTAAAAAATAGAATGAAGAGGAGGGACAAGCTATGGGGGGAAAGAGAAAGAAGGCATCCATGATGAGGCCAGGCCTCTGATCCAGGAGACAGGGTCAGTGGTGGGCCTATGCCTGAGCTGGGGACCCTGGAGGAGGAGGCACAGGAAGGAAGATATTGAGGTCAGGGTGAAATCTTGTGGGACATCCAGGAGGCAACATCCAAGAGCTGCCCAGACAGTTGAGTCTAAAGGGCAGAAGAGTTGGCCAGGCTGAGACCAGGAGGCTGTCAGAGTTCAGACAGGGCTGAAATCCTGACAGTGGGAGGTGGAGGGTGCAGCAGGGTAATCTCACATCAGGCAACCATGACTGTGGGAAGTGGCCCTGCTCAGCACAGCAGCCTTGGCCCCCAGGTTCTCATGTCTGTCTACACCTGGGGACATGGAGATGGGTAAGCCCAGAGCCCCACAGGAGAGCCTGATCAGTGGAAGAGCCCAGATGCACACAAGCAGTCCATGCCTCCACAGGGGGAAGTGTATGATGAACGTGGGCTCCAGGAAGTACAGAGATCCATTCCCAAGGACTAGGGACAGGGCAAGTGTCAGGACCAGTTCCTAGAAGGGGCTTGGAAAGGGAATTAATTAGAAGTCTCTCAGCTTCAAGTGCAAACACATTTAGGGAAATGTATTGTCTCATGTTAAAAAAATTATAATAATGGGATACCTGGGTGACTCAGTGGATGAGCATCTACCTTGGGCTCAGGTCCTGGGATCGAATCCTGCATCAGGCTCCCTACAGGGAGGGACAGAGCTTTTGTCTCTGCCTGTGTCTCTGCCTCTCTCTGTGTGTCCCTCATGGATAAATAAATAAAATCTTTAAAATAATAATAATAATAATAATAATAATAATAATAGTAAGTAAGGTCAAGGGTAATACCACCTTCAGTCACAGCTTGATCCAGGAGCTCAAATATGACATGAAGTCACTATCCAATCTCTAGGTTCCATTTTTCTCTGATTTTTTTTTCTCCTCCAGAGGACTTTCCTTGAGGTAGTAAAGATGGCCCCAGCAGCTTAGAGCTTACATCCCACCCTCTTAGTGACCCCAAAGGGAAGAAAGGTCTCCTGCCCTGTGGTTCCATCACTCACAAACTGGATTGGGCCACATGTCCACCCTTGAAACAAGCACTTTCATCAGAAGGCAGAACTGGAATGCTCTGATTGGCTGATCCTAGATCATGTTCCCTTCCCGGGAAAGGAAGAGTGGGGTGAGATATACAGGTGAACTGAAATTTGGGCAGGGGTGGTTTCCCAAAGGACAAGGAGAATGCAGAAGGCTGGCAAAGCTACAGATGTCCATAAGGCTCAGAGAAATGGTAGGCGGGGAAACAGCTTCCTCATTTGTTAACGAGGCATGGGAATAGTACCTTATCTCCTAGGTCTAGAGAGAGGATTCAGAGAAATAATGCAGGTGATGCATTTAGCAGACTTTTCTGTGAAAAATAGCTAAGTGGTGAATAAATGGCACCTTTTTTTTTTTTTTAAGATTTTAAGTAATCTCTACTCCCAATATGGGGCTCGAACTTATATCCTGAGATCAAGAGTCACACACTCCATGCAGGGAGCCAACCAGGTGCCTCTGCAGCTATTATTTTTAAAATACTTCTTTCTGCCTCTGTCTCTGTGTCTCTCATGAATAAATAAATAAAATTTTAAATTTTAAAATTAAATTAATTAATTAATTTTAATTTTAATTTTAATTTAAAAATTATAATAATGGGATACCTGGGTGTCTCAGTGGTTGAGAGCATTTACCTTCATTTCAGGTCATGATCCCTGGGTCATGGGATCAGGTCCCGCATTAGGCTCCTGCATGGAGCCTGCTTCTCCCTCTGCCTGTGTCTCTGCCTCTCTCTCTGTGTCTCTCACGAATAAACAAATAAAATATTTTTAAAAATAAATAAAATAGTAATCAATACTGCCACTGCTGAGGATGAACAGAATCTGTATGCTGGGAGGTCATGAGCTCCCAGGCACAGGATGTGACCTAAAATTGAACAAGCACACACTGGAAGCTCATGCAATCTACCTCCTGCAAGCTCAGTGCCCAAATGGTTTCTTTCCAGGCTTCTGTCACCAGATCTGTGAAATGGGAAGAGAGTTTGGATTAAAACACAAGGCTGTTTTAGATGCCTCTTCTCATCAGATTGCAGTCAGCTCACCTTCTCAGAGAAAAGCATTTCCTGACTCCTCTTGCCAAAATATCCTCATTCATTCATTCATTCATTCATTCATTCATTCAAGTGATCTCTACACCCAGCATGGGCCTCAAACTCACTACTCCCAGGTCAAGCCAGCCAGGTGCCCCGTCCCCCTTTATTTTAACAAATCATCGCATTTTACTTTCCTTATAGCACTTAATCACAATCTGAAAGCATCTTATTTACTTTCTGCCTCCCCATTAGAACGTCAGTCCCATGAGAGGCCTGCTCAGGGCGTGATCCCACCCCGCGGGTAGAGTCCCGCATCGGGCTCCCTGCATGGAGCCTGCTTCTCCTCCTGCCTGTGTCTCTGCTCCTCTCTCTGTGTGTGTCTCTCGTGAATAAATAAATAAAATTTTTTTAATAAAATATTTTTTTTAAAAAAGAACGTAGCCTCAGGAGGGCAGGAATCGGGAATCCCTATCTTGTTTTTTTTTTTTTAATTTATTTATTTATGATAGTCACAGAGAGAGAGAGAGAGGCAGAGACACAGGCAGAGGGAGAAGCAGGCTCCATGCACCGGGAGCCTGATGTGGGATTTGATCCCGGGTCCCCAGGATCGCGCCCTGGGCCAAAGGCAGGCACCAAACCGCTGCGCCACCCAGGGATCCCGGGAATCCCTATCTTGTTCACCGCTCTGCCCCGGTCACCTGCCCCCAGTGCCTGGCACACAGGCGGCCCTTGATAAATATTCCTTGAACACGAGATAAACGTCACTTCTGCGAGGCAGTAAGCTTCCCCATTGGCAGAGGCTTCCAGGCTGAAGCAGAGGGATCGTACCTCGCAATTCATGCTGCAAGGCCCCTCTCCGGCCTCAGTGTCGTGGTTAGTGAAGAGGGTCCGCGGGCAGGTGGCCCCAGGCCCCCTTCCTGCCTGCGATCCCCGCGGCGGCCACCAGGGGGCGCGGCGCCCCTGCCCACAGCCCGCCCGCGGCCGCCGAGCCCCGGTGGACGCGTCCCGACGTCCCTGGAATGTTCTGCGCCCCGGGCGAGCGGAACCCGGGAGGCTCGAGCGGATGCGAGGCGTCCGCGGCCGGCGGGCCGCGCTCCTCGCCGCGCAGGGGGGCGGGCGGGCGGGAGGTGACTCAGGCGCGCGCCCCCGGCGCCCGGTTCTGGCGAGGGGGCGCGCACGGCCTCGGGAACCCGCGCGGCGCCGCGTCCATTTTTACCCGAGCGCCGCTAAAAATAGTCGCCGCGCTCGGAGCCGAGCCCGAAATAGCGGCCCCCAGATAAGGCAGGACGACTCAGCGCTTCCGGGGAGCGGAAGGGGAGGCAGCGGGGGGCGGAGGATGGAGCCGGGCTCCGCGGGGCCTCGCCGCGCCGTCCCGGCCGTCGCCCCCCGCCCCCCTGCCCGGGCCACCGCGCTGCCCCCGACGGCCCCGCGCCTGTCCCCAGCCTGGCTTCACCCCGCCCGCGGCCCCCCGCCACCCAGCTTCCCTTCCAGGCCTCGTCCCCGACCGCGGGCCCTCCGCTCCGCTCCCCTGCCCTGCCCCGCCACCGCGTCCCCAGCGGGTCCTGGGCCCTCCACCTACCCGTCCCTGAGCCCTGGCCCTGCTCTCCCCCACCCACCGCCCCGACCTCAGGCCTTCCTGACTCTGCCTCTGCACCCCCCATCCCAGTCCTCCGCCCAACTTCTAATGGGCAGGGGTGGGTTGTGGGGAGAGGGGAGGGGGTGGGGAGACCACAGGAAGTAGGACAAGCTGCGGGCTCCGGGTGAGGCACCTTGACTTCTTGGTTTGCTTCTACAGTGGACCCAGTAGGTTTATGTCTGGGTCGGTGCCAGTTTTCTCCCCTATGTCCAGCCTTAGGATTCAGGCTGGGGCCAGACAGGAGGTCTTCCGGTCACCAATGTTGGGGGTCTCCGAGCCGGCAGCCCTCTGTGCACAGCCTCTGTGCACAGCCTCTGCGCTCACTGTGTTGTTCCCAGCAATCCTAAGCCCACCACAGTTCTTTCCTCCCTTGCAAGTCTGTGATTGGACACGACAGCTCCAGGCCTGGGAATGGGCATTGATTGAAACAGCCAGAAACCTGCTTTTTCTGGGCCCAAGTGACCCCTTTGCACTTGGATCCTCTAAGGCACCTTCCCATTCTGATATCCTGTGGCTTTCAGTGCTTAGTCCAAGAATCAGCTTCAAGGAATCTTACGTTGCATTTTCCAAAGGTCCAAAGGCAACACCTACATCTTCTAGTGTCTGAAACATCACAGGACAGACGGACTGCCCTGTTCTTTTGTGGCCCCAGAAAGCAGGATGTAGTAGACAGAGTTGATTCAGGTAGAACTGCCTGGCTGTGGATGGAAGGCCTCAGGTGGTGGTAAGGTCCCTGTCCCTAGAGGACACCAAGCTTCAGCCAGATGCCCACTTGTTTTGTTGTCTGGATGGCTGGGGGACCTCACTACCAGGCAAATGGACTGAACTGAAAGGTCTAAGGCATGAAGAATCATGTATTTGGGATCAAGGAATGAAGAAGCTGGAAAGGTCTGCCAGGACCAGATCAGACTGGGTCTTGTGGGCCACGCTGAGGAGCTCAGACTACTCCCCCAGGGGCACTGGGGAGTCATAGGAGCAGGGGACAGACAAGGACAGATTTATGCTTTAGATCTTTCCAGCCTTATGGAGGTAGATTGAGGAGGGGCAGAGGAGGACAGGGCAGATAGGAGAGACGGGAGGTAGGGAGGACCAGACTTGGTGGCCAAGAGGCTGTGGACGGAGGGGAGCCACTGGGATGAGGCCCAGGTCCCTGCCAAGGTGTCAAGGTGGGTGGTGGGATCCCCCTGAGATGAGGCCTAGGAGGAGGAAGGAGCAGATGTGGGTGGAGGATACCCAGATAAATTCCAAAACCAGTCCAAAGATGGTAAATTTTAAATAATAAGGTCTTTTTTAATTTTTGGAAAATATATATTGGTTATACCTTGAAAAAGTTTATTTCGTTCCTCCCTCTGAACCCTACTTCTCACTGTCAACTATTTCTTGTGTATGTTGGCCAATAGGATTCAAAGAGCTTTCACCATGTCCTTCCTGGCCCGTGCTAAACCCCTGCCCAGGAGTGGTGACCTCACTCAAATCACCACTCAGTGTGTGGGCTAGGCACCAGTGCTGTGCCCATCTTAGAGAAGTGAAAACTAAGGGCTGGAGAGGTGCATGGAAGTCCTTTCACCTGCCTGGCTCTGACGGCTTTTCAAAATTGAAGGCTTGGGAGCTGATGAAGTCAGAGAGGGAAGGTCCATAGGGCTAGAGTCTAGACCCATGGGGAACAGCACCAAGGAGGGGGAGCAGGAGGGGGAGGGGAGAGAGCACAGTAGCGGGGTCAAGGAAGGCTGCCTGGAGGAGAAGTGAGAGTAGTCAGAAAAGTGGCTTCCAGAGCCTTCTGATGAAGAGTTTGAATGGAATGAAATCACTTCCTTGGGGGGAGGCAGCTGAGTTATCACTGGCAGCAGGGCAGCACCCCTCCTCAGGCCCGCAGGACCCCAGAGGTGTTTATAGGAGATTGGGGCTGCTTGATGACATTTCAGGGACACAGTGATAGCACAGCGGGCTGTTATGACGTCTGAGTGATTCGCCAACTGCCTATTACAACCAGCATCTCTAGTCATGCCCTGGGGAGGGGGGGGATGAGGATAGGAGGAAGTGACAGGCCATGGGTGGGGGAGGGGGCGACAGGGAGGCAGTCGTGCAAAGACCAGGGACTCAGGAGCTGAGAGATGTATTCTGTCCTTTGCCCTGGGGAAGGGTGGCCCAGAGGTGGGATGTGAGGACCCGTCTTTTGGGGGCTGTTTCTAGTGAAGGACGTCTGGCCTCAAGGAGCTGGGGCTGGGGTGGAATTGGTCTGGGCTCATAATCAGGGGTCAGCCCGAGGCTGCTGGGATCAGGGACTAATACTTTGTTCACTGCTGTGTCCCCATCACCTAGGACATTGCCCCCTCAATACGTCTTTGTTGAATGACAGCATCAAACGAAAGGGGTCAGCGTTCTCTGGGACTCAGTTTACCCTCTTGCCTAAAAGCTGTGGCCAGCAGACCCCCTCAGCCAAAGGCGCCCGTAGCAATACCCCTCCCCACTGAAGGTCTCGGACCCCAGCCGTTGCTTCTCCAGTGGGGCCGAGGGGTGACCAGGAAAACGAGTCCGCGCCTCCGGTGGCCTCCGCCCACATATGATGTAACAAGCCGCTAGGGGATCCCGACCCTTTTCCCTCCCTTGGGATGGGGCGTGGAGAGGAACTGGGAGTCCCGACTCTGGCCCCTCCTCCGGGCCTGGCGGTGTTACACAACCCGACGTCGCGTCCCCAAGGATGTCGCCGGACGTCCTGACCGGTCCGGGGACAATGGGCGGAGAGTGCCCCTCCTGCCAGGAGCCCAAGTGGCAGGGGTGCCCCCTCCTCTGATTCACCCTTGTTTCCGGCCCCTTTCATCCTCCTCCTTCTCCCCGGGGATCCTTAACTCCCCCAAACTCTCTACCCTCGATTCTCGCACCCCCTATAACTCGGCTTTTTTGCACGACCTACCACATATTTACACTCCGCCTCCTCCCAGCTCCCGGCCCTCACTCCGGCCACTGTGCTTCTCGAAACTTCCATTCTCCCATGGCTGCCCTCATTCACCCATCCCAGGGCCCCTCTTCCGACTCCCTCAATCTTCTCCCTTGGCCCACCCCCACCGTGATCTCAGTCTTCCCCAAACCCCCCTCCACGTCCCTAAACCGACCCCCTACTCCTCTCTCTTGTCCCTGATCTCGGTCCCAAGTCTCCTCTTCTCAAAACTACCAGGATGTCCCAAGCTCCTGTCCCCCCTCCCCCATCGCGCCCCCCCCAGCCGCCCCTCCCTCCCGCCGCTCCCCGCCCCCAGGCCCCGCAGGCGCGCGCCCCTCCCCGGCCGCTCCCACGCCCGGCGCGGGTTCCCAGGCCGCCCCCCCGCGGTGGCCCAGAGACCCAGTTTGCGGCCGCAAAACATTGGTCTCCGGGCAACAGGCCCCGCCCTCCCCGGGGCGGCCGGAGCAAGCGAGCCCGGCCGGGTCGGGGCCGGGGGGCGGCGAGGCTGCGGGGCCGGGACTGGAGTCCGGATCCCTCGCCCCTGGAGGCCTGCGGGGCGCAGAGACCCGGAGACCGGGAGCCAGCAACGCGGAACTCGTAGATTCGGGGCCTCGGGGCAAGAAGCTTACGGGGAAATTCCTGGAGGCCGAAGCCACAGGGAGTCTGGGACGCTGGGCCACGAGTCAAAGCGAGCGAGGACGCCCCCCCCCCCAAATAAAAACCGAGATAGCGAGGTGAACACGGACAACACAACGCCAGGCCCGCAGGGACGTCTCCGAAGGCTGGATAATCTACCTCTGATCTCAGGGCCTTTGCACTTTGTCACAGGGACTTCCCCTCTCTGAGTCTCAGTTTCCACGTCGGTAAAATGGGTATCGCGCTTAGCATGTGGGGCTGTTGTGATGATTCAGTTAATTCGCCGACTTAGAGCTCGGAGCACAGTTCTGGCACATACCGTACATTCATTCGTGCAACAGATATGCATCGAGCACCTATGATTTGCTAGGTCTACGACCTGACTAGGACAAAGATCTCAGCTCTCCTGGGAGCTCTAGCTTTGGGTGTGGGGAGGGAGGTGGTGAATGATGCATAAACATAAATAAACAAGGTATGCAGCCACTGGAAAGTACTGAGCGCTGGGGAAGTGCAGAGAAAGGGAGGGTTGGACGTGTCATCTAATAGAGTATCAGGGAAGGCTTACAGGAGGAGGTGGTGTCTGAGCAAAGACCAGAGGTGAGTGATGGGGATGCCGTGCAGGAATCCCACCTAAGAGTATCTCATCTTGCCAGCAGCAAGTGCAAAGGCCTTTAGGTGGGAACATGTCTGGAGTCTTGGAGGAACAGGGAGTCCGGTGTGAGTGCCTGGAACACAGAGAACAAGGGGAGGGGAG